AAAAAAAAAAAAAAAAAAGGGAGATCAAGACCATCCTGGCCAACATGGTGAAACCCCATCTCTACTAAAAACACAAAAATTAGCTGGGTGTGGTGGTACGCACCTGTAGTCCCAGCTACTTGGGAGGCTGAGGCAGGAGAATCACTTGAACCCGTGAGGCGGAGGTTGCAGTGAGCCGAGATTGTGCCACTGCACTGCACTCCAGCCTGACAAGCCAGCTAGACTGTGTCTCAAAAAAATAAAAAAGAAAAAAGAAATGCAGCTCTCTCTGGAGAGTCCATGCTTCTGCCCCAAGGATAGAGGCTGCAAAAACTGCCCAGGTCACCTGGGCCAGGACACATCCTGCCTGTGGGGTGGGCTGACCTCATACCTGCCACATTCTGGGATCCCAGAGTCCTCCCACTCCTGCCCAGCCCAGTCCAGGGCCACCAGCTCTTAGGTTCTGAAGTAGCCCTTTGAGAGGGAGAGGGTGACATGCCATGTCTCTCTGTGCCCTTCCTCCTGCCAGTCTTCTCTCCACCCTAGCATTTAAGGCAAAGGAACAGAAAGCCTTTCTGTGCCCCCACCTGGCACTTTCTCCAGGCAGTGTCAGGGAGTGGGCTCTGCTGCCTGGCCCCTCATGCCAAGCAGGATGGAAGGAAACTCCAGAATGGCAGTTGGGGATTTTCTAGAGTCCTGAGCCAGAGAGTCTCCCGCGAGGACTAGTGGCTTCTTTGAAAAGCAGCGGCCACTCCTTTACACAATACCTCCTCTTCAGGGCATCTCCTCCCACTCTCCCATACGGGAGCTCTGAATCTGCAGAGGACAGCTAGCTTATCTTGGAAAACCTTTGGGATGGGAAACTCATCACCTTTCAAGGAAGCCCAATCCATTTGCAGCTGTGTTAGAAAGTTCTTCCTTCTACCGACTCAGAAGAAGTCTGCTTGCTGTTTGTTTCTTCCTTGCGTCACGGAGCAAAGCCTGGGCTTTTTCCAGGAGAGGTGGGGGCGCCAAATAGCCTATTGTCTAAGTACCCAAAGAGTGCTTACGCTAAGGTCCTGCTCCACGAGAACTCTGTAGCTGCCACTGACCACAGGATGCCCACTTGGACAATGAAGCCCCTTTCTAATGGGAGGATATTTTCAGGATTGTTGTCCCTAGTGAGCTTCCTACTCCTCCACTTCCTGTTCCCCGTGGTTTGCCCTCAGGCTCCTGGCAACTTCACTGCTTCACTCAGCCATCACTCCAACTAGCTTTCTATAGCTCCATGCCCCTGTGTTCAGTCCTAAGTGGGGCTACTGGATATTTGAGCCTCTCACTCAGCAAGCCTTGGAGTTCCTTCCCTTAAGCCCTACTAGCACCTT